TACATGCAGATAGAACCATGTGAATAACTTTAGTGCTTCGATAACACAACATTGAAAATTAACAGATGAACATATTGGTCACAAAAACAAATTAAATAATATATTCTACCAATCTCATTTTTTCCAAAAAGTACAGTTACAACCTTGTTATTCTTTGAGATGTATTTATTACTGATACTTATTAATAAAAATAATAATAATTGATATAGGTACTTACTGATCTTTGGAAACATATATACTCCAGTCCAGTGAGCCTTTATTATTCTGGTATAATGCTATTTCACAGAAATGTTTGTAATTCCAATCACTATGTATGAATTTGATTATAGTAGGTATAAAACTAAATGTTTATTGAATATCTTTAATCTGGGCAATGAAAATCACAAAATTCACTTTAAAAATAATAAGCTTCAATCTGAGTACCATAGTTAAGGTCCACTTCTTCATTTTATAATCAGTAACCCACTGTATTGCTGTTTTTGCCAAAGCCAAAGGTAATATTTGAACACAAAACAAAATCAGCTGTTTTTTATAAACACCCCCATTTCACTTATTTAGTAGCAAGTCTCTGGCAGCAACTTGTAACTTAATTGGAGCATATTTATTAAATCTTGAACACTTTTTTTGATCGTATAAACTCACACATCAGTGCAGCTTGTTTAAAAAAAAACACTTATAAGCAACCATCAATAACACTCGCAATAACAATAAACTTATTTGTTGACCATTAATTTTTTCATCTGTACTCCTTCTGATAGTTTTGTCATTTTTCATTTCATATAAACTCGAGTTTTCGCCATAGAAGAACTATTTTTATGATTGCACTTTTTTGACAGATAAAAAGATTGCCGCAATTTTCCGCCGTAACGACACTAGCGAATTTTGGCTAGGAAGTACGATCGGTTTTGGTATGTTTTTTTCAGGGAGTTGAAACACCTTTATAATATGCCGTGAACGCGGCTCATTCAAATGTCCTTTATTATTTATTTACATTTTTTGGCATTCATTACTTTAAAAAAAACTAATATTTACATTAAAATACTGTATTTAACATAAATATTAGTTTTTTAAGTAATAAAACTCCAAAAAATATAAATGAAAATATTTGAAACAATAGGTATATACGTATAGTTTAATCATTTAATAAAATTAAGGTGCATTTAAACATTTATTATATACAGAACATGTACAAATAACAACTGTAAGTGGAATTAATAGTATTCTCCTCTCGTTCTTGGAAAACTGGACCAAATTTTGATGCAGGTGTCAGGGGTTTCCTATAAAAACAAAAAAGTGTACATACTTACATCTTATTAAACAATTTTTCTTATCAAAATGTTGCCCTTTCTTATAAAAAAAAATATTTTTAATTTGTCTAAAATTAATTTATAGAAAAAACTTTCAGTTTATTTCTCATAGTGCAATGGTCGATTTGAATTATATTTTAACTAATCTGTTCTAGTTGATCTAACAAATTTGAGTTTGAAAATTACTTTTCATTTTTAACAGAGGGTTGTTCAAATTGTTTATCACTAATACTAAGTTTACGTTTGCAAATCATTTCTTGTTTTTCGTTGCAGATTAGCAAATCTATCTTATGCTACTGTGTATGTGCTTCAGCCTCAACATTTTCTAAAATCTGACTGTTCGGGTTGAGTATAGTTGAACTGGATGTACTATTAGCTAATAAAATTGGTACAGAATTTGCAATTAGTCGTTTATGTTTTGAAGCAATTTTACTAAAAGAATCTGGCCAAAAATGATCTTCAAAAAGATAGCGAATTTTATTATCTAAAGATAAATGTAAATTCTTAAAACAGTTTTCACGAATTTTAATATCGGAAGGATAATGAAAAAAGGTTTTATTTGAATAACCAGCCTGCTGAATATTAGAATAATACTTATTTAAATTAAGGGGCTGAAAAAGATTACTTAATTTTACCAGTGCCAGACATGTTTTGTTACAAATAGGTATATTAAAAAAGAATTGAAAATCGATCCAAAATGAAATTATACTTCGTTAAGGCTATAAGAAAACAATGATAAACAAAGTCCTTAAACAAATCTAACACCTTATTAAATTATATTGTTAATACTTACTAATTTCATCAAATCAGCACTTATCATTCTTCTTAACCTAATAATAACTTACCTATCGAAGGATAATTATATCCACAACATCATAATAACTTTTATTTTATGACGGTTTTTGTGCATTTTTCAACTATTTCGTCTTCCGCCATTCCGTTCTTTATTTTTAACGAGGTTATCAACACAGTTGCCAAACCTCTCTTTAAAATATCTCAGCAATAGTATGGCCATTGTATGGATGGTATCGAGCACGACAAAAACAAAATAAGGTGCAGCTTATGCGTTTGAATTAACTCTAATCTCATGAAAGTTTATGGAAACTGACAACATCGCTGTCATCTTATTTGCGACGGTGGCTCCAAGTAGTATGGCTGGGAACTACCACTTGTTACCAGTGCCGTGCATTTAAACGGTTTATCTTTTAATATTAATTTATCTATGGTTGTTACTGTATCAGCGCAACGCAATTTTCGATACTGAGTCGAAAGGATCGCGAGTTGTTGGTGCGCCATGCGCCAGGCACTGATTCCGTTTTCCGTGACGAGTTGAGAATTTTAATTTACGTAATTGATGCAACTCGTAATGCAGATTACCCAAAATCTTTCAAGTAATTATGTTCTTTGCAACATGTCACATCATTTGTAGGATTGTAGGTCGAATTTTATGAATTTTAATCTTGTACACTGTCAATTTTTAGTTATTTTCTACTAGTATACAAAATTTATATCCTTTTTATATAAATTGGAATTTTTGTATTTTTTGTAAAATCCGAACACAATGAAATAAAAAAATGAGTGCATTACACTGTTATATTTTCGTTTATTTTTAAACATATAATAAAAAAAATTTAGTTAAATTCCCAATTGCGTTATTGCCTTGAACAAAAGACAGCCCGCGCTGTATAACACCGGTATCATGCGATACACAGAGGTGCATCGACTTCATTCGGCGCAGGCAGTGGTGTGACGCAATAACGCAATTGCGTTAACGCAATGAGTTGGCGCAATAGAGTGCGCCGGAGTTAGTGTATCAACGCAAAGAATTTTAGTGCGTTACCCATGCCTAGTACTCACACGGTTTGAAAATAGGTCCCCTGATCAAACCGAACGCTACTTGGCAAAGTGGCATCAGTGCAGTGTTGCCAGTTAGACAAAAAATACCAACTGTTGTTCTTTTTATCTTTGTTTTAAGATTTTATTGGGCCCTCAACTTTTTTGCGATTCTTACCTGCAAAAGTGTCATAAAAACGAAATTATATTTTTTAATAATAATAACTAAGGAATTTTATTATTCAAAACTGTTAGGTTTATCCTTTTAGCATGAACATTTGTGGTATCGAGTAATGAAAAACGAGGTACTTTTCAAACGCAGCAATAGTTATGTATGTTTTATAGTAGTTTGTCATACCTATTTGGTTATCTTTTTAAATAAAGTTCAAATTTATACACTGAATCAACCATTTAACAAAAATAATAATTAGAATCGAATTCATTTTTAATAGAACACCTATGTGGTACACTGATAATACATAATACAACCACAGATCACTTACTTTAATCAGACTTTAATACAACAACCTTTTTATTTTGGGGTTCTTCTGCGTTTTTTAGCGCGCTTATTAGGCATTCCAAACAAATGAATTGCCAGTGGGAAGGTTTGGTATATCTAAGGGTGGCGACATACGGTGTATTCTATCTACTTTACGTAAAATCATGAATAATGGATTACATTTAAATATTTTATGTCAAACACAATTAAAATAATTTTTAAAAAACCTACCTATACATTTCTTCATAAATTGGCAGGCTTGGCGACTACTACTTCGAATAAAAATAGCGTCCAAGTTGCAAGACTATGTCGCTACCCCCTTAGATATACAAGAATTTCCCACTGGCACCGTGGCACCTATTGTTTGACAGGTCGTTGGAATGCCTAATTTATATTTGGTGAGTTCGATCTACGCACTCTTTTCACTATATTCACTCCTAAAGTACCTAAGGCGTTCGGGTACGGAAGGAGTTAAAATAAAAGTTCCTCTTTGACCGTTCGGAGATGGTGGAGTGGAGTGTGGATCGGGCATGCGCATAAGGTGATTTAAATTGATAATAAGTTAATTGTGAGCGATTCTTTAGTAAACAAATTTTTTTTTGGTTCCCGTGAATATCATTAATATGGAAGAAACTTATACGGTCGTTACTGACAAGTACAATTAAATTTTAATGCTGCGTTTGAGAATCCACATCGGATGCATCTGAGATGTAAAAAATCTTTGATCACGTGGTTCAGTATACGTAAATGTAATGGGACAGATGTGTCCGATGTGGATAAAAAAACGCTCGAGATGTAAAAAATGCATCCGATGTGGATTCTCAAACGCAGCATTAGTACTGGTATGTCACATTGACAATTGACATTTCACTCCGAGAGTTAAAGGAGTAAAATCATATTCGCACTCCGTTTACGCCTAATTACTACACTCCACTCTGGAGTGCGCAGCCCGAACTCACCTATTATTGGCATGGAATTGGCAACACTGCGATAAAAAACACGTCGTCGAAACTCGAAATTTGATGTTCCATCATTTCATTTTGTTTATTATAGATTGGATTATAAATTATAAGATATAAGCCCATGATATAAGGTGCGTTTTAATCATCCGCTTCTGCTTCCGGAATTGTCGGTTTAGTCGTTTTAACCTGTCAGATTAAAACAAGAAAACCGACAATTCCGAAGCAGAAGCGGATGATTAAAACGCACCTATTAGCAGAGACAATCCAGCATATAAGTTTTTGGGGTCAAATTTGAGTTATTTACTTCCTCGTCTTGAGTAGGTGTAGTTTTATTCGCTTAACCCCACTATTTCAGATTTTACAGACTTTCATATATCATAAATCGTAATATTGACTTGAACACGTTAAACACACTCGAACACTATCCAACACACTCTTCAGAACATTTCCAGCTTGCATATTTGCCGGTTTGCAAATTAAATCAATTTTTTTGTTAACTTAAAGGTGAGTAGATCAAAACGCTAAAATTTGTAGTAAGCGTATTTACATATATTTGAATTTTTTTTGAATAAAAGTAAAAATATTTAACCACATTTTTCAGATTCGCTCAAGATGAAAGACGTTATTGATGTAATGGAATTACAAAGAGAGAAAACACGTAAAAATGTTTCTCTTGATTACAAATCCCTAGATTTTAACAATGGTTTCACACCTGCAAGATTTATATTTGAATGCGGAATCAAGTTAAATGGTCAACCTTTAACTTTGGCCACTGCAGCTGTTATAATGCATCGTTTTTTCAGAGAAGTTGATCCTTCCAACTATGATTCTTTTGTAAGTATTTTAAAAGTTTATTAGATTTTATAAATTTACAAAAAAAATGGATACCAGTTATGACAAAAAAAATATCTCAAAATGTCCACTACTCACTACAAGTAGGTCTTTCCAATCCATAACATAATTATACAAAATATGTCCTGGGTTCATAGTGGAATCTGTCTTTTCATGAAGATCCTAATCATATCATGAAGCATCTGCATGTTGTGTAAAATTGTGAAGCTACACAATCTGACAAGGCCTTTCATGAAGAATCCACAGTATTGTGTATACCTGTCTAAATTAAAATTTAGCATTTTCATGAAATGCCCATAGTGTGTTTAAAGTTTAAATGACTCTTCAGAGCTTTGTACTGAGACATTGGATTATACCAGGGGGTCGATTCTCGACTTGTAGGAATTTTTTCCTATAGGAATTTTTGACTTTTTTCTATACATAGAAAATTTATGACATTTCCCTACATATAGGAAAGTGTCACAAATTCCTATAGGAAAAGGTTCCTACAAGTCGAGAATCGACCCCCTGGTGGGTCATTATTAAACAGAGATACAAAAAATTACCATATTATCATAGAATTAACATAAACAAGAAAAAATTAAATATAAAAAAAAAACAAACAAGATAACAATTGTAAATACTTTTTTATTATCAAAGCAGTACAATCTATCAGAATATTGATTAGCAAATCTACCTGATCTCTCTAGAAATGAATTATGTCCATAGTTAGTCCGATGTTGTCTAATATTAAAGGGCTGAATAAGCCTTGTTTGTCTAGAAGGAACATGAATATTGATTTTTTCCAATAGCTCTGGACTAAAGCTATACAAGTGCAGTATATTGTAGAATGTGGTAAGATCCTTGTGCATGCGTCTGATCTGAAGAGTGGTAATATTAAGGGAACTCTCCATATTTGAGTAATTAATATCCTCGGCTCCATGGTGGTCCTTAAATGAAATAAATCTTAAAAATTTATGCTGAACTCTTTCAATGGCTTGAATATGAACATTGTAGTGGGGGCACCAGACACATGAACAGTAATCTAAATTAGGCCTCACAAGTGAACAAAACAATATTTTAATGGATGATACCTCTAAAAAATCCTTAGCAGAACGTTTAATAAAGCCTAGCATTTGAAGTGATTTTGAGACTGCCATTGATATATGGGGTAAGTAAGATTAGTTGGAATCGAGGACTACACCCAAATCTTTAACGTGAGATACCAATTCCAAAGGGCAACCATTAATATTGTATATTATTTGTTCTGTGGGACTTCTGTTATGACTGAAGACCATTTGATGGCACTTTTTAACATTAAGTTCCATTCCATTGATTTCACTCCAGTTGCTGAGACGATCTAAATCAGCTTGCAGTTTTATGTAATCAGATTCGTTCTTTATTTTCATATATAATTTTAAATCATCTGCAAAAATTAGGAATAGGGCAAAGACAAAACAGGAAGCAATATCATTCACATATAAATTAAATAGAAGGGAGACCAAGTGTGAACCTTGAGGTACACCTGATGATACTTTAATTCCTAATGATTGGAAGCCCAGAATACACACTATCAGTATTCTTTCAGTAAGGTAAGAAGATAGCCATTCAAGCAGTTCCCCCTGAATTCCCAAACTCTGCATCTTATTAATTAAAACTTTATGTGTAACCCTATCGAAGGCCTTTTTAAAATCTGTATACACAGCATGTACTTGATAACCGTCCTCTAGGGATTCCAAGAAATAGTAAATTTTAAAAGGTTAAGCTCTGCTGAATGATGAGAAATAAATCCAAACTGTTGATTAATAAAGCAGCTTTTTAAACAAGGCTCTCAAATACTTTAGGAATACAACTCTATATACTAATAGGTCGATAGTTATCAACCTGTGATTTATCTCCGGATTTCAGTATAGGAGTAATTAAGCTTGTTTTCCAATACGCTGGGAATGTCCTGCTTATTAAAGAAAGATTGAAGATATGAAAAAGGGGTCTGGAGAACAAAAAGCTACAGTGTTTAATAAGGGATGGTGGAAGACCATGAGGGCCTGGCCATTTGTTAATATCCAATTTTGATAGTTTTTTATAGATTGATGATACAAAATTGTTAAAAAAAGCTGTTAAAACAATGTGCTTCATATTTAATCTCAAATGACAGGTGGATGATGAATATCTTCTGGAAATAAGGCATCCCTCAGCTGCAAATATCTCGGTTTCGCTATGTTGAATAAAAACCAAATCAATCAATCAATATATGTTTATTGTCAAAGCTACAAGAACTTATAGACAAACACTTATAAATATAATTATTATGTAGTACTAACAATTACATGCATAAAAATTTAAAAATTGTATAAAAACGTTAAATATAAAATTAGAGGTTAATTACAAATACAAATACGTAACACAACATCGATAAAATTATATAAATACAAAAACATGTACGTTCAAACAGTCACAACGATTTAAGAGTCATTGTAAAATTCCGTCAAAGCATAATATGCTTTTGTCATCAACATATCTCTAAGCAGTATTTTAAATGTTGTGACCGTTTCCGTCGATTTAATATCATTTGGCAACTTATTGTACATTTTAATCCCATTATAAATGAAAGAGCCCCTTACCAGTTCAGATTTGGGTATGGGCAACCGCAGGTTGTCAACTTGTCGCGTTAGCCGAGCGTTAGTATTGGCATAGTTCGATTTATTTTTATGTATAATACAAGTGGTTTCAAGAATGAACAACGATGTTAATGTTAAAATTTCATGTCTAATAAAATGTGGTTGACATGACTCAAGCTTGTTCATTCCACATAAAAATCGTATTGCTCTCTTTTGCAGACAAAAAACAGTATTGAATAATTCACGGCTGCAACCTCCCCAAAATGCAATTCCATATCTCAAATGGGACTCAACTAGGGCGTAATACACACTTTTTGCTGCCTTAAAACCTAGTTCTTTTGCCACAGTTCTGACTGCAAAACATCCAGAAGAAAGTTTTCTGTTTAGCAATTCTATATGGTTTCTAAATTTCAAATTATTATCTAAATTAATTCCCAGAAATTTTATTGTGTCAGTACATTCAATAATATGACTTCCCAACTGAATATTTGGTAGGGAACATTTAAGGGTTAGCATTTTAGTTTTTCCCATATTAAGACGCAAATAGTTGGCATCGCACCATGCTTTGATTTTCTTAATGTCACAGGATATGGTGTTGTATAGGACAGAAGTGTCATTGCTGTGCCATAAAATCGTAGTAAAATCTGCAAATAGAGTGAAAGTACCTGCAATTTCAAGTTGAGCTAAGTCATTCACATAAAGGAGAAATAAAATGGGACCTAACACAGAACCCTGAGGGACACCCCAACTAATATCTAAAACTTGAGAATCCTAAGACGCTCTTACCATATGCTTACGTTCTGAAAGATAAGATTTTACCCAACTCAGCGCTCCGTTTTTGATCCCGTAAACTCGAAGTTTATCCAACAGTACTGTATGATTGACGCAATCGAACGCCTTAGTTAAATCACAGAATATCGCCGCTACAGAATCGTCAACATTAATTCTAGAATAAGCATGTTCAAGATAAGAAAATATCACATCAGAAGTACTTTTGTTCCTTTGAAAACCAAACTGTTGTGTTTCCAGCAATTTGTGAGTTTCTAGATATTGATAACATTGCTGCCTTATTACATTTAACATTTATATAAAAATACATTAACTTTATATTTTAGTTTTTTAATCTTTATGTATTAGTTTTTTAGTCTGTCTAGCACATACAGGTGCCCACACCTAGGTGCTAACTTATTTACCTATGATTAATTTATAATTTGGTTATTGTTGTAATTAATCATGTTATTACTATAATTAATCCTGTCATAAATAAATTGAAATTGAATTGAAATTGAATTGAATCAAACGTTTTTTTACAACTTTTTCAATAATTTTGGCCACTGTAGGAATGAGAGATATAGGCCTGAAGTTCGAAGGATCGTAGTTACTGCCTCCTTTATGTATGGGAACAATAACACTGGTCTTAAGAAATGACGGAAAATTTGATTCGACGAAACTTTGGTTGATCAGACTAGCAAGGACTAACATTGCTGATTCAAGTAAATTGTTGTTAACATTTCTGAGTTAACTTGATGAAGATTATGATGAGAGCATAAAAATGAAAGAATTTGTAGGAGGAACTCCATCCAAAGGTACAGCGACCAATGCCAATCTCTCATTGAACCACTGGCAGTACGGAACGTTAAAGTCTCCCAGGATACAGCGTTTATGCTCTGGATATTGTTCTTGACAGTTTTAGGCCAAAAAAATATTTTTTACCTATAAAATTTTTACTGTCACGTTGTATGGTGTGGAAGTAATATAATAAACAAAATATATTGAGTGAATTTATATTAGTAATCTCACGATCAATATCCAGCAATTGAAATGGCCAGCTATGTGAAACAAATTTAAACCAGTTCTTAAGTTTATAGTAAATATTCTAGTCAGATCTAAACGCACCATAAAAGAATATACTTAAATAATTATTATTGGGTCCACCCTATGTTATCCAGCATTGGTATAGCAGGGGCAGAAGTTGGAAAGGCTTGTGGTATGTAAAGAGGGGGTAAACGTCAAACCACGTCGGACGACTTCGAGATTTTCGCGCTAATGTTTATCTGCAGGGTTTCATAGAATAAGTAATTTTAAATTGTTACCGGCGGAGAGATACCGTCAGGTCCTGGCGATTTAAATGGAGAGAAGCTGGATATGGCCCATCTAATTTTTTCATCGTCTACGATGTGTTTGGCAGTTTGCCAATCATAGTCAGATGGATTGTATTCTTCCTTTGCCCAGTCCGCCACGTGTGTGATGACCGAGTCAGGGAAGTGTGTTGACAGCAGAAGTTTGATGCTATCTTCGAGGTTGGCAGTTTTCGTGCCATCCTCTTTGATTAGTGCACCAATGCTTCGATGTGGATCTTTTGAGAGAGCTTTTTGAAGCCTCACT